AAAAAAAAAAAAAAAAAAAAAAAAAAAAAAAAAAAAAAATTAAAGTAACCAACCATACGTTAGGCTTTATTCGTGAGACAATCAACTCATATGATCTCACTGAAGCCTCACCACTAATGAATTAGGTGCTGTATGCGGGCAGAAGTGGCGTATGATGAGGTGAGATAAGATAACAGTCCGAAAGCCCGTTCGGTCATTTCTTGAAATTCTTTCATCGGGCATTCCTCCATTGACGTAGTTAGCTAGGTACCTAAGGTAAAGTGCGCTGTAAATCCAGGTGCGGTCCCTGATCGGCCACTAAGAAACCGCTGAGCAGAGCCAACTAGAGCCGCAATTCGCCAAGACCAGGTTCCTTCATCAAAATTCTCATAAACGACATCGCCCAGACTCTCGACTCTTATCTATTCTTTGCGACCCTGCGACGCCCGCCACTCGCCCACGACGAAACTTCGCGACAGAGCGATCCCTCTTAATTACTTGTTCTTCTCTCTTTCTTGGGGATCCTCTTGTCTTCCTTTTTTTTTGCTTCCGAAGTCTTCCGCCTTGGGCCGTCACCGACTCGTTCAACAATTTCCTCCGACCCGAGCTCGATTTCTTTGCCGAACCCGGATTATGCCCTTGGGTCTTCAACAACAAGATTCTGACCTCGTCTTCGCTCAATCGACGACGACGAACGACGGATCGACGACTGCGACGAGCGATTTTGCGCCATCCCCCGAGCATCGTCATGCTGCTTGGACGGGTCGTCGCTCGGAAAGTAGTAGAAGCAAGACCAGTGACCAGAACATGACCGCACAAGATGTCGAGGCTGAGGGGCGACCGCCGTATCTTCACGTACGTTAGAACTATCAGATCAGGGTGCCATGATCGCATCGCCAAGCGTTTTCGACCTATTCGTTTCCAGGTGCGCTAACATGGGACCCCTCGACAGGCCATGATCGCAGGTGGTATTGGAGGATCTACAGGCGATCTGCTCATGCACTCACTCGACACTGTCAAGACGAGACAACAGGGCGATCCCCACGTTCCTTCAAAATACACATCGCTGGGACAATCCTACTACACGATATGGAGACAGGAGGGTATAAGACGGGGTCTCTACGGTGGATGGATTCCTGCGCTTGGAGGTTCATTTCCAGGAACGGTTATGTTCTTCGGTACATATGAATGGAGCAAGCGATTCTTGATAGATCACGGCGTGCAACAGCATATTTCATATCTCACAGCAGGTACGGCACCACAATGAGATCCAGCAGCAGTACAGACGCTAACAAACTTATAGGTTTCCTTGGAGATCTCGCAGCATCTATTGTCTACGTCCCCTCAGAGGTTCTCAAGACACGCCTCCAGCTTCAAGGCCGTTACAACAACCCACATTTCACCTCAGGCTACAACTATCGCGGTACTATCGACGCTGCTCGAACTATTGTGCGCGCAGAAGGCACGTCTGCTTTGTTCTACGGTTACAAGGCCACTCTCTACCGTGATCTGCCATTCTCAGCTCTGCAGTTCATGTTCTGGGAACAGTTCACCACTTGGGCTCGCAAATACAAGCAGAGCCGCGATATCGGAGTTTCCCTAGAGCTTCTTACAGGTGCCGCAGCTGGTGGTCTTGCCGGTGTTATCACCTGTCCCCTCGATGTCGTCAAGACACGACTTCAGACTCAAGTCAACACACCAACAGAGTCCCGACATCCCAAAGACCACCATGCCAACTCACAAGTTCGACACATTTCCACCTCTTCTCCCAGCACACATCGGCCACGGCCTGGCGCCATTGCTCTCGACACATCCTCCGTCTTCACCGGCCTACGGGTCATCTACCGCACTGAAGGCGTAGCAGGATGGTTCCGCGGTGTCGGACCCCGAGGAGTATGGACATTCATCCAGAGTGGCTGCATGCTGTTCTTGTACCAACGACTCCTTCGACAGCTTGAGGTTCTGATGCCCGTCGAACGAGAAGAAATGTAAAAATCTCCACACATGCACATACACCTTGTTCTCACCTTGTCGTTTACTACCTTACTTGCTATGATTTTAAAAACATTTATTCACGCGCGGTCGCAAAAAGTTTCCTCCCCGCTTCACCCCCCACCCTGTATAACTCACGCATTAGAGAAGCGGACTCTATGAGATGAAATGCAATGGACATTTATGTACAGATAGAAAGAGACGTTTGGGGCTGCGGACGGCCGTCATTGTTGGGCGTTGGGAATAGAAGGGAATGACTGATCAGACATATCAGGACATGAATAGAGTTGAGAGCATGAAGCATAGAAGCTCTCTGTTGACTTCACAATTATGACTTTTCAAATAGGGCAAATTTGCTTAATGACTGGTTCAACGACTCGAGGAATTCTCTGGTAAGGTGAATGGCGTCGAGGACTTGATAATTGGTACATGAAAACCTCTTGATAACAACGAAAAACTCAAGTCAACACTTGTCTGTAAAATCAGGGGTATAAAACACAACTTCAAAGCGCATTAGCAACAAACAGTAGTGAAACATGCACTCTGGTATTCCTTCCTTCGTAATAATCGTCATAATTATTGGAATATCCTGCAGATCAAGCATCCGGATCACTATCTTCCACGCAAGGCAACTCCTCAAAGTCGCTCGCACGAGTACGTAACTCATCGCGAGCAAGGCACACTGCGATAGCAATGGTCAGGGCATTCCAGATCCCCTGGTGTTCATCTTTGAAATCGACTTGGACCTGAAAACTGACATGGGCGTCGGATCCTTTGGAGGAATCGACGGTAAGAACAAGAACCCAGGTGTTTATAATGAAGAGACCGTATACCACGGGAGGGTGGCGACGGTAGATGTGTCGAGGGGGAGTCTGGGGTTCGTCGGGGAGAGAGGGCGATGGGGACTGTGAATGGTACGACTCCCTCGAAATCATCGCTGTCTTGGGGAGTACTCTTGTGGAGATACTGGGGCTCTTAAGTCCAGGTTCGATCTTGACAGCGACTTCATGGGTTTCGGTGGTTGGAATCACGTTTCCAACTCGAGGATGTGAGCCGAGTCGGCTCTCAGCAGGCGTGAGCCATCCCCCAAACGATGTTAGCCCGTCATTTGGCTCTAGTTTGATCTTCGGAGATGCGAATACACTGGGCTTGATAACATCCCAGAACTGGGGGTTTCTATCCTCTCGGAGAAACTCTCGCTGAAGCTTTGCGAGAGCTCTCATACGGTTCTGGATGTGCTCAGTGATCTCATCTTCCAGCATTTTCGTGTCTACAATTTCCGTCAGGATGTTCGGAACAATACGTAGATGCAGGTAATCGCCGTCCTGTGCTGCCCAGCTCAAATACTTGTCGAGTTCTCGTTTGATGAGCTGCGGTACCTTCATCTTAAGGCCACTCTGAATGGTTGTCCTGGTCTTTGCTGTTAGGTCCATGAGACGAAGAAGTGCGGTTGTTGCTAAAAAGAGTGAGTAATGTACACCATAATATGAGGATTAACATACCTCGAAAGTCCTTTGAGTGAGCATAGATGATGGGAGGGAAATCATCCGAAGTCTGGAAGACGATATCTGAGATTGGCACCCCTCGTAGATCTACATCCCATGTTGTTGGAAGCATGGGTAGATCCTGTCGCATGTACAATATCTCAAAGAGTCGCTCCTCAGCAGGAGCCCAAGTACTGGCACCAGGATATCGCTCCTTTTCCAACTTCATCAACTCTTCCATGCTGTTAGAACAAGGGACTTCTTCTTCATCTTCTTCATCGATTGTCAAGAAGCTGAGCTGAACATCTTCATTATAGCTTGTGGGACTCGACATCTTGCGAGTGTCTGCATCATAGTTGAGTCTCTTACGAGGTGAGACCCGAGTCGTCGGACTCAAAGAACGCTTTGATTTGGTGTGTTTTTGCATTTTGGGTGTTTATGGATCATGAGGGCGGCTCTGGAGATCGATGTTCCTGTTGTTTTGTTTTTTGTTGTGGGGAGAAAGAATAGGCTTCGTTTTGTGTTGATGAGAAGGAGTAATTGTTGCACTGCGAGTACCCGTGAGACAACTGAGTTAAGGAGATGTCACTTCAACCCAGGCCAATGATTTTCGCTTAATGTGCTGTAACAAATGGCTAGGAAGATAATTGAAGTGCCAAAATAGCCTCTTTTAGTGTTAAATATTTGATAGTTTACCCCAGTCATGAATATGACCTCGTGAAGTGAAATGATATTCACCTTCTTACACTGCTGGATGCGGGGCGTGCACCTATAATATCTTCAATCCCCGCACCCCTCCCGGAAGTTCACTTTCGCCGTAGAAGCCAATCAGAGCCAGTCATCGAATTTCTTCACATCCCAAATCAATCGTCGCCGACCACTTTTGAAAGGGCAAAACGACGACCATGGCCGAGGTAGCAAAGACTGTAGCTCGCCAATTGCCCGGCTTCAAGCTGGGCCAGAAGCAGGTTTTCCTGTAAGTACCTTTGATCCCTCTCTGCTGTCTACCAATCCTGACAATCTCTAGGCCAAACCATGTAATCACCTTTCTTCGAAAAGATCACCTCCCACCAAACGAGGCCACTTTCCAAGTCCCTCTACGATTCACAAAGTTCGATCTCCGAGATTACCTCTGGAACCTATACAATGTTGAGGTCACAAAGGTCCGATCATACGTCAAGCAGCAACCTCTAACCCAGCGCAACTCCCACTCGCGCTCGTGGTACCGCCCCAAACCCCTCAAGGTCATGACTGTCGAATTGGCAAAGCCCTTCCAATGGCCCGAACTTCCCCAGGATAAAACACCCTGGAGCAACCAATTGTTCCAGATGCGCGAGGATATGTTGGAGAAGCGAAATCAGGAGCATATTTCGCAACAGCGATTCGAGATTCCTCTCAGGAGCAAGCAGCTCCCGTCCAAGGAGAGACAAGAGTTGGCCAATATGGCACAAAAGCTGTTATCGGGAGAGGAGAAGTGGACTAACGATGTTATCTTGGATCCTAAATGGGAGAAGATACTGAACAAGGAGGAAGTAGAGGTTAAGAAGGACGCAAATGAAGCTTAAACGACTACGAAAGGCGAATGACGACTTGGAACTGCAGGAAACTGCTAATGAAAGAGGCGGCAATTCTATGAGGAGCCACGGATGATGGACCTCTGTAGGATAAGCGGCCATCACAACTGTACATTATTGTAACTAGTCTTGGATCGGCAATGCATGCAGGCGGGTTAAAGAATATGAGCGCAAATATAGACGCTGAAAGCTCGTATATTCTTTGTCTCATGGTTCTATTTCATGCCAATGTTCGGGTTGTTGAAAGCGCAATACTTCGTTCCCCCAAGCCCACCAACCAGCCGTCAAGTTACGAGCAAAGATCTCGAGGCCAGTACATTCTTTGCCAATGACATCTTGAAAGAGGCCTCGCAGACTGGGCTTTCGTGAATGGACATCAGGGACCGCCACGATGACTTTAGACTCGAGAGCATCTGGCTTCTTGCTTCCGATGCGCTTCGCTATAATGAGCTTTTCCCATGGCTTTCTCCATGTTGACTCAATGTCGTAGAGGGGTTCACCTGACGCAGCAACCTTGAGCCACGTCCATTCAGTCACAAACTCGAGACCCCAAGCAGCGAACAGCCCTTTTGGGGAAGTCAAAAAGTCGTGAATGCTATGTTTGTTAGTGACCCAGACGGCAACGAGTCCATCTGGTGCAAGATGAGAAGCTAGAGGGATTTGTAGCAAAAGGTTGCGCATTTCGGTAAGAGTTGATACAGTAGCATACTTGTCTGTCTTTCTCCTGGCAGATCGATTTGGCCAGGGAGGATCTAACACAACAAGATCAAACTTGGGAGCCGACATGTGAAAAGTATCACGCATGGCCTTAACAGAGCCATCAAGAAATTCGGCTTTGTCTGGTATCAAAGGCGGTAGAGCGGTTACTGACGGTGATTGTTGTGACTGAAAAAACCGGTCCCGATGGAAAGGTCCAGAATATGAGTATCTGCTGGCAAGGTCCTGTAAGGTGCTGCTGACCGTTTCAGTGGTCATGAGCTCAGCCAACTGCGCGCCAGGAGACGCAGTCGCAAATGCCGAGTGGTCGCCTCCTCCATGCCGGGGCTCCGGCGTCGGAAACGGACTTGTGGGGGGCTCTGCGGAGACGATGCGGCGGCGGGGGATCTGAGACGGGAGAACCTGGCTCTCTTCTAGAGACGTGGGGATGTCTAGAACAATGAGGCTCTTGTCTGGGCTCTCAAAGAGAATAGAGGAGCTTCTGTGGCTGTTGGCCTCCATAACTTAGCTGACTCGGATGACTAGGTATTCTTCCACCTGGATTGGCTTTTGCTTAACCCGCGGTTGAAAGAATAAAATTCGCGGCGATGGTCGGCAAACCTCGGCTCGGTTATTGATCACCGGGACCGTTAAGCCTCGCCATGCCCTGCCCTGTGAATGTGCTGAGGAACGACAAGTTTTCAGTGGATTATCAGCGCATTAGCCCACTGAAGTGACAGGTCTTGAACCCCTGATGGCCTAATTCCTCTATTTTTCTAGGGTTCTGGGGGATCTCCATTTCCGCGGGCGTGACCACCTTTGCTAGTGGAGGTCATTCACTTGTAAAAAACTTGTGGGGGGCCTGTATTCGCCCACTGAGCGTCGGTCTAATGACGTCCAAGCCGCCTCTGACCGGGGGAATTCTGCCGCGCCGCATGCCGGGATCACCTCCAAAATCCTCCCCATATCCGAACTTCTTCATCCTCCCCGCAAAACCTGTTTCTATTACTCCTCCAAGTTTTTGAGAATATTCCACTGAAACCGAAATACCTCAGTCGCGTTGGCTTCGAACACCGATCCCCATTCGACTCTGCCACGGCATGTCGCGCCCGTAGGCCTCGAATCCGTTCAACAAGGTCAGGCACGTGCTTCTGCGAGCCTCGGGGCCATGTCCTCTGCCGACGCTGCTCAGATGGAGCATGCCTCAATGGCCGATGTTGCACGCAATAGAAATATCCAGAGCCATGTCTCTTCTCACACACTCAGCAAGTCGCCAAAGGAGCCTCCTGTGTGTCCTACGGACCAGGAAGCAGTAGCACCAAAGGCACAAATGAACAGCTTCGAATATGTGTGGAAATCTGGAGTTGCGGGTGGTTTAGCTGGCTGCGCTGTAAGTTTGTCGAAGCCGAAGATGGAGATCTCCAGAAGTTTCTGACTATTTGAAATAGGGCAAAACTGTCGTCGCACCATTGGATCGAGTGAAGATCCTCTTCCAGGCCAGTAATCCACGATTCGCAAAATACACAGGATCATGGGTTGGTGTCGCAAGCGCCATGAAGGACATTCATAGATATGAAGGCATCACTGGACTTTACCGTGGACACTCTGCGACTTTACTACGAATCTTTCCTTACGCCGGTATCAAATTCCTCGCATACGAACAAATTCGAGCCATTATTATCCCTGATAAACACCATGAGACACCAGTGAGAAGACTGCTCAGTGGAAGTTTGGCTGGTGTCACCTCCGTCTTTTTCACGTATCCTTTAGAAGTTATGAGAGTACGACTTGCTTTCGAGACTAAACGTGACGGCCACTCTTCTTTGTCATCAATATGTCGTCAGATTTATAACGAGCAACCCGTTCAGAAAACAACCACGACTCGCCTACCTAATGCGCCTACGACGGCAACTGCTGCAGCGGAAGCGACAGCAGCGACAGTTGGAGCCATTGCTCCTCAGACAGGACTTATCAACTTTTACCGAGGTTTCGCTCCCACAGTCATGGGCATGCTTCCATATGCGGGCATGTCTTTCTTAACTCACGATACTGTTGGTGATATCCTGCGATCGCCTCGTTTTGCGCAGCATACGACACTGCCGAAGAAGGCAAACCACCCTGAAGGAAAGCCAGCGCCTTTACGATCATGGGCAGAGCTTACTGCTGGTGGAATCGCTGGTTTGATCTCTCAAACGGCGTCATACCCTCTGGAAGTCATTCGACGACGAATGCAGGTTGGCGGTGCCGTTGGTGACGGTCGTCGACTGAGGATAGGAGAAACCGCTGGTATGATCTTTCGAGAGAGGGGTATTCCTGGTTTCTTTGTTGGCCTCACCATTGGATACGTCAAGGTGTTCCCAATGGCGGCGGTCGCATTCTACACGTATGAGCGCATGAAGCTCGTCTTTGGCATATAGATGCATTTGAGTACTACAGCACCATCGGAGGTCAGGATTGATTTGGCGTTGACGGAGTCATTGCGCGGAACGGAAGCGGAATTGCACACATCTTTTGGGACAGGTTTTTGGTGAAGTCGAATAGGGGCATACGGCTAGGTGTACATACAACAAGAAGTACAATACCTTGTGGCTTTATGAGCAAAGTTCTCATGTGTGGAAATATGTCTATTCCCATTCAATATCCGTGAATAAAGGCTCTTTTGCTGTTTCATGGCGGCGCCTTTGCCACGCACTATAAGATGAGGCGGCGGCCTCCGTGGTATCTTTGTGGTGTAATTCATTCTGAATAGCGCCCCTTTTCTCATACTCTTACTAGATCTGGGAACCCGACGCCCTCTGAGCGTGGGATGTCGTCGTATTACTCATCGGGCTAAGAGTTCACCAGACCAAGCAGCCGGGGCGAGTAAGTGATCTGCACGAACTGGCTTAACGCCGTTGAGAGAGCTAACGCATATCCCGGGTAAGGGATCGCAGTTTACGGTTATAGCTCGCCCGCACGTGCCAGGCTTCCAAGGGTTTTCGATGTCATGTTCTGGCTGTGCAGACTCGAGATGGATGGGGCGTGAAGGGTAGTCGTGGCGCCAAAGTGCTGGTGTTTGGCTAGATGCGGACTAGAAATCATGGATGGGCGACGGCTTCTAGAAGTTGTGGTTAGATCGATGATAAGTATCTGTACTTACGAGTGAGTTGGGCATGGGGGTTTTAAGTAAGTTACCCGTCAATGATCAACTAGTGTTTGTAAACCCTGGATTTTAGAGGATTTGTGCTCAGACGTTGTAGACTGGGGTCAAGTACGAGAAGATGGAGGTGAGCTATATGGATTGGCAAGCCGAGACGGTATCGTCAATCTGATAGACTTTTTCTTCATACCTCTCCAGCGAACGAAGCATTGCTTTGTATTCTATGACGTGTCTGACATGCAAATTCTCTAGCTGCATCTTCGTGGTGTTGTGGCGATATCGGCAGTTGAAACAGAGTTACAAGTTACCCAAGAGAAACATGATGACTTGCCAATTAAAGCAGCTCCATGCACAGTAAGCACGCCAAACATGCATAGACGAGTTGCTACGCAGTAGGTGACATTCAATACTACTGTAGAGTCACATGAAATGCCGTTCAGTACCTAAGGTAGCGTTCTGACTAGTAGCAATACTCTCCGAGTAATTTACCCTAGAGCGGTCGAGTAGTCGAGTCAAGCCCGGGTATGACGGTAATAACGGATCAACGTCAACACCACTAGGAACAAGATCTGCTTGATGCATACAATGCAAAACACGGGGCGTCCAGTGGCATCATTCTACAGAACGTGGATTGGTGCTGACTCTACTGTCAATTGACGTTGAAGTTGAAGATGAGTTTATAGATCGTTGATTGGCCACATATGTGCTTGACCAATGACAACCCGGCATAGGTGAAGCTAAGTGAGCTTGCCAAAATTCCAGGCGCAGCCTCAGCCTCAGCCTTTCATCTTCACTTCATCAAAGCTCCACCACCAACAAACACGCTAGACTCTCGAATCGCGAACCATTTAGATTCCGCTATTCGTCAATTGGTGTTTCTTGACCAGTACAGACGTATAGAGCTCTTTCAGCCTTGCTCCCTATTCCCGCGCGTCCATCTTCATCATGGCGTCCGCCGCCGACCTCGACGGACTCGTACTCCTTCGCCAATCCATCTCCTCCAACGCGCCCTTTGTCCCCACCGCATCAGCCGATGCCTCTGCGACCGAAGTTCCTCTATCTCAGGCGACGTACTTGCGATTCCCCGATCGGGATGTCGCTGTTCCTATCGACAACCCGACGCGCTTTGTGTCGCAAGACAAGCCCGTCGACCTGC